TGATGCTGCTTGGCCTGCTGTGTTCATCCAGCTCTACACCTTGTTATCGAGGAACATTTCTCTGATCAGTGCCAGTGCTCACCAGCAGATGGCAGCAATGTACTTTGCAATGCCAATGTCAGAATGAAGACATTGACCTTTTTAAATTTGTTTTAAAAAACATCTCCCAGAATGTCCCAAAGGGTTTCTGATTGAATCATTTGCATTCACCACCTACGTGGATAAATGTGGTGAACATTTTAAGGGACAATGTGGCCAAGGGGGCCATTCAGCCCATCATGCTTATACCAGCTCCTTGAAAGAGCACCATGACCCTGCTGTTTCCCAATTATCCTGAAATGTTCTCCGTTTCAAGTATTAATCCAATTTCCTTTTTAAAATCGTCATTAAATCTGCTTCTGATGGTCTTCCAGGCTGAGTGAAATGTTCTTCTCGTGCATCTCTGCTCCTTTGGTTTCTAACCTTTAAACCTCTGGTTACCGGTAAATGAAGGTAAATAAATACTGTCCCATAAATAACAACATGCTGGATGATCGGACAATCTGTCTTTATTGATAAAGATTTGGGGGCAATTGTTGACAAGGAAACTGGGGGTTTTCCATTCTTTTTCCAGATTGAGAAGCAGGAATTGGTCTGGCCCACTGTTTGAATTGGGTTTGGTACTTCTGACTGTGCTCCTGACAATACAGCACTCCCTCAGTACCACCTGGCATTGGGACTCTTGGCACAGCCATGAGATGTTAAGCCAAGCTGTTGTGTGCACTGCCTACCACATGAACAGTGTAGAGTGGGGACAAAAGACAGAAAAAAGGGTATTAACGGGGAGGGAGTGAGTAGGTTCATTTTTACTCCTCTCTGCTCCCATCACTTCTTTGACCCCTTCCCTCACTTCACATTCTCTTACTTGCCCTTCTTTCTTCCCTGTCACCCTCTGTTCTTCTCACTTGCCTTAACTTTCACATCCTTCTTACTCACGCTCCCTCTCTCTTTCCCCCTTGTGTTATGTCACGTTCATGATATTGTCACTTTATAGCTGAGAGTATGACAATCTCATGCTCCATCTTACCCTGTGATCACGTGAAGCAGGACATTCTGTTAGGAGCACACTCCTGCCTTGTAACCTATTGTGCCTGTGAATATAATGTCCGCATATAATAGCCAGACGCAATAAACATCTGTTAGATTCTTCAATACCACAATATCCACCCCAAGTTTCTTATGTTACGAGGAACAAGACAAGTATTGCTTGTGTTGGAAAATACCCTGCTGGAAGCAAAATTCACATCACCTTTCTCTTTATTCCATTGTCTACCACACTCTGTTCCTCGCTATACTTTCTCTCTTTCACTTGCTTCTTCCTTCTTGTTATATTCTCTCACGTTACCCCACCCTGAGTAGCGGCAGTGCGAGTTGTGGGCGATATTTTGACTCTGTGTGTGCTCATCATTCTCTTTCCCATCCTCACAGGCAGTTTTCCTATACCAGCTCCAAGTGCGATATCTACAGAATCAGGTACTAATCCAGAGTTTAGGAAACTGCGTTATATTGTGAATTTCAGCAGTAGCTATTTATTCTTTTGTCAGTGCGTTTTAGAGTAGAAATATTTAAATCCTGGTGAATCAATTGGGGAAACAGGTTGTAGTGAAATTGTTTAAATTTCTCATTCTTACATATTTTCACACACTTTCTTTCCATCTCTTTCTCACCTCTCTCACTCTCATCTCCTCCTCTCTTTCACCTTGGTCTACCCATCCCTTTTTTCCCTTCTCCTTACTCCCTTTTTCTGTCACTTTCTCTGTACCCACACACTCTGACTTCCCTTTCTCTATACCCTCTCTTGTTCCCTCCTTTATCCTCTCTCTTATCTCTCTCTTTCTCAGCTGCATTCTCCCTGTTCTCCCTTCCTTTCCCTTCTCTTTCGTTCTCTCACCTGCTCTCTATCACTCCCCCTCTCTCCCTTTCTGTCACTTTTCTCTCCTCTCTCATCTTTTCTGCACCCCTCTTCTCTCTCCATTTTCCTTTCTTCCTTCTTCACTCTCCCCTTTGCACTTCTGTTCTCGCAGTGAGAAACGGGGGTTTCACTGTCCGGGAGAGAAAGCAGTGACTCAGTCTTGTGAGCTCGAGAGTTTGTTATTGTAGGAGTCTGTGTTGCAGATCCTTGATGTATTCCACTGAAAACTGACAGCCCTTTGTCTAATGCCACATCTGCAGGGTATAACTATACCACAGGTATTCACTGGACTGGTAGCTAATGTTCTGAGTGCCCTGGTAAACTACATTTTCCTGATCGTGTTGAAACTTGGAGTGGCGTGAGTATTGCTTGCTTTTACCAAGGACGGGGGCACTCATTGCTGGTGTTCCTGTATTCTCACAGTCCAGATCACGAGGTTGGTCAGGCCCTTCAGCCCATCTAACACAATCCTATCTAGAATATCCACTTTAGCAGCCTATCCAGTAGTATAATCCCAACAACTGCCTGACCTCATATTCCCTGCCACCAGCTTCGGGGCAAAGTGATTGCTTTTGGGAATAAAAACAGAAGATGCTTGATACACTCAGCAGGACAGGTAGCATCTCTTAACATTTCAGATCATGAACAGTTCATCAGTTACATCGCAATTTCAGATTCAACTTTACCTTTGGACATTGTGATACAAATTGAGGTTGCCAACTCTGATTGGACGTATTCCTGGAACTTTAATCCCAAGACTACAAACCAATCACCATTGGTTGTCCCCGTGCCCCACCTTCATGCCCTGATTGGAAAATAAACACAACCATAGGATCCTGATTGAATGATGATTGATTAACCAAAAAACCCTTTCTTTATTCAGTTCCAATATACTTCATAACAAGGAACAACAGTGTCCAAAGGTGATGCGCAAAGTGACAACTATACCAGGTAAAGTTGCCACTATCCCAGAGAACAAAAGGGCTGCTCTCTCATTAAAGAGCGATGACTGGAGGTGGTTAAATGCAATGTTCACCACACCTCGGGTAAGGGAAGGGGTTGAGAAGGAGAGTCCCCTGTGGTAACCTCCAGCTAGTGTGGGTGAAAATCCTGGAATTCCTTCCCTGAGACATTGTGGGTCTACCTACAGCAGGAGGACTGCAGTGGTTCAAGAAGGCAGCTCACCACCACCTTCTCAAGGGCAACTAGGGACGGACAATAAATGCTGGGCCCAGCTAGCGACACCCACACAGAGTAAAAGGAATTGAACCCATACTGTCAGTGCCAGCTTACATTAATCACCAATCGTTCAGCAAACCTGAGCTAACTGATCCTTTGGCTGTACAGCACCTAATAAGACCATAAAACACAGGAGCAGAAAGAGGCCATTCATCCCACTGAGAGTGTTCCAACATTCAATGAAGTCAGAACTGATCTGATAATCCTCAACACCACTTCCCTGCCTTCGTCCCCATAACCTTTGATTGCCCCTCTCTGATTAAAAATCTCTCTCTCTCAGCCTTGAATGTACTTACTGACCCAACCTCAACAAGCCTCTGTAGGTCATTTTCGTATTGCTGCCATCTGGAGTTTAATCCTCAATTTCCCGGGGATTCCAGGACAATGCAGCGCCAGCATGTTCATGGTGAGGAGCTGGCTCATCCTCAGTTATTTCCGGTGTAGGTGTTTGCTGGAACTGGTCTTGGTATTTTATTGGGAGGCGTTGTTTGTTTTCGAAAGAAATCTAAAAGCCATTAATTTGCAAATCAGTGGGAGCAGCTGGAGCGAACCCTTGGAAATTGGTAAAGCATCAAGCTGAACCAATCCATCACCCTTGCCAACTGCCCGCCCCTCCACTCCCCCCATTGCCCGGGACCCCAGCATCGCCACTTGTTTCAGCCTACCAGCTTCTGAATGAATGCTTCGGATCCAAAGCTGCCCAAAATGAAGTGCTTCCTGGGGTCAATGCCTCCTGCCCCCTAGAGAGGGCAGTGCCAGCAAAGGTGTCCACATTGCCAGTGTGGCAGCGATGTCTTGTGATGGCTGGCGGAAGACTGAGCTCGGGAATGGCAAACGGCGCACGTTCACATCCGAAACGGAGGGGTGTTGGCTCGGAGCTTTGATTGTGTGAGGTCTCGGTGACATTTACGCAGTCGCTGTTCTGTTTCAGAGGGTCTGCTTGGGCCAACGTGATCTCGCAGTACAGTCAGAACATCATCCTCTTCGTGTACATTCGCTGGAGGAAGCTGCACCTCCAAACCTGGGGAGGTAACGTGAATCCTTCTGACTAGCAACACTATGCCCTTAGACTGGGGGAGCTTAAGAGGGGATTTGATAGAGATATTGGATGATGGGCAATGGGACTAGGTGCCTTGTTCATTTGTAAAGAAAAATCATCAAATTAATCCAGGAAATGTTAAATTTAAACCAGAATCTAAACAGTTTGAGGATATGAAAGTTTCTAGGAGATAGTATTGCAGACCCTGCAACGTAGGAGCAGAAGTAGGCTATTCAGCCCATCGAGTCTACTACACCATTCAACGATATCACGGTTGATCTGAAAATCCTTTAACACCACTTTCCTGCCTTTTCCCAGTAAACTTCGACTCCCTTACCGGTTTAAACATCGGTCTGTCTAAGCCTTGAATGTATTTTATAACATAACTTTGACAGCCCTCTGAGGGATTAAAATTCCTACTCCCCTTTGTCTTAAAGGGGCGGCCCCTGAGGGACAGAGGTGGGTGTGGAACAGCGTTCCTAACCTTGCACTTGTGAAGTTGTTTTACACCAAACTAGAGCTCTTCAAAAAGGTCAATGTGATACATCAAGAATTAATTTTCCCATAAGGTTTAACAATGGCAGCCTGTTCTGATGGGCTGTGCAACCAAGGTTCTGACAGCTAGAATGAAATAAAAAAACTGCACAGACGCACGCGCATGTAGGTGCGCGCACACACACACGCCAGAGTTACATCCTTTGGTTGACTGTTAAAAGGTGAGATCCTTACCTTGAGACCTCCTTTTACAGGTTGAGACAAAGACAGTTCATCTGATTAAAAAATTATTCTGGTCTGGGTGTATGATTATCACATGTTTGATTGAGTATTCAACTTTATCTTCAGGTAGATCATGTGTGAATTTAAACTACATTTGCCATGTTATAAATATTTAATTACTTATGACTAAAGTATAATGCAGGATTAATTGTCATAATAAATATTCTTAAGCAAGTGTTAAAGGGTTATAGTCACAGTCATAGAGTTGTACAGCATGGAACCTGACCCTTCAGTCCAACCCATCTTGTCGAGTAGATATCCTAAATAAATCTAGCCCCATTTACCAGTATTTGGCCCATATCCCTCTGAACCCTCTCTATTCATGTACCCATCCAAATGCCTTTTAAATGTTGTAATTATACCAGCCTCCACCGCTGCCTCTGGCAGCTCATTCCATACACACACCACCCTCTGCGTGAAAAAAATGCCCCTAGGTCCCTTTTAAATCTTTCCCCTCTCACCTTAAACCTATGTTGTGAAGTTAAGTAGAGTAGTGACGTTTGCAAAATGGATAGGGGCAAGAGTGCACAGTCCCTTTAAAAGATGATGTGTCCTTTTAGGCTTGGAAATTTAAAGAAAAAAACATCTGCAGGCAGCAGCAGATGCGTAGAGAGTTCTTGAAATTGAAACATTGAATCAAAAGGCTATACTGCTAGCAGGCAAAGCAGCATTTTTGATATTGCAACAGGTTTTTGAATTGAACCAATTAATTCAAACTAGGCCCTGGGTGCCAAAACCCAATTAAATTTAAAATCTAATGGTTTTGACAACCTAGGACCAATCCTATTGTAAGAAATTAATAGGTCATCAAGGATAAAAAGAAAAGGGCATTTGAAAATTGGGGTGAGAGTCAACTGTCATCTGCCAAGAGAACAGCTTTCAGCTATAAAAGAAAGAATTACTGGCTCTCACAGAATTCTCTAAGCTCTCAGAAATCCACCATCTAAACTAAAGGTATAATGGCACTCTTAGCAAATATCCCCGACACAAGAATTCTATGGAGAAAGGCGTTCCTGACTGAGGGTTAGTGGAGAGGGCATGGAGCATACTGGAAGACTTATCCTGGCTGTAATTTTGAGAGACTAAGTTTTAATTTAGTTTTCTTATTACTTTGGTTTGTATAAGTTGGTTTTGTATTTATTGGAGCAGCATACCATCAGAATTTTGTTTTATTTGGGAATAGTTAGTAGTTAAGGGGGAATTGTTTGTTTTGTTAATAGTTCTGTTAATTTGTTTACTGATAGAGTTAGATAAATAAATTTTTACTTGTTGATTGTAAAGTGAATATCCGGGATTTCTTTCATTTAACCACTCCTTTGTGACAGATTACGAGGTGAGGTGAGCTTCCTTGCGTGTTTCGGTTTTAATTATCGGGGGTGGGGGGGGTTTCATCCTCTTCTTTGTAACATCTATACCCTCTTGTTTTGGACTTCCCTACCCTGGGGAAAAGACTTTGTCTATTTACAACATCCATGCCCCTCATGATTTTATAAACCTTTATAAGGACACCCTTCGGCCTCCGACACTCCAGGGAAAATAGCCCCAGCCTATTCAACTTTTCCCTATAGCTCAAACCCTCCAACCCTGGCAACACCTTTGGAAATCTTTTCTGAACCTTTTCAAGTTTCACAACATCTTTCCTATAGTAGGGAGACCAGAATGGAATGCAGTATTCCAAAAATTCTTCTCATACTTAATTCCCCACAAATTTGCAACATTCTAGGATTTTTGAGTGTGCAGATTTTGGTTATTGACACTAAGTGTTTCTTGTACAAAATACATTCTATCTGGAGTTGATTCTGCTAGTCTAAAAACTCCTTGGGGGGAGGACATTTTGATGTTGGGATTCAGATTGTCTACTGTTGTTGTCTAATGTAGCTTTTTGCTTGTGTTTGTGTCTGCGCAGGATGGACGATGGACTCTCTTCAGGAGTGGGGGCCTTTCTTGCGATTGGCCATTCCCAGCATGTTCATGTTTTGTATCGAGCTCTGGGCCTATGAAATGGGATCGTTCCTGGCAGGTAGCCAACTGCAGGCCGAATCCATCCTGAATTTCTCCAGAGCGTAAAAGAGAAATCGCAGGGCCTCTTTCTGTCTGTGACCATAAGAAGTAATAACAGCAGCAGGCCAATCAGCCCATCCAATCTTCTCTGCCATGCAGTTGGGTCATGTCTGATCGAAACTCCTCACGTCCACTTTCCTGCCTTTTCCATGTAACCCTTGATTCTCTAACTGATCAAGGATCTTTCTATCTCAGCCTTAAATATACACAAGGACTCTGCCCCACTGCTCTCTGTGGCAAAGTGTTCCAAAGACACTAAACCCTCTGAGAGAAAAAATTCCTCCTCATCTCAGTCTTAAATTGACACCCTTTTATTCCGAGATCATGCTCTTTGGTCCTAGAGTCTCCCATGAGGGGAAACATCCTGTCAGCATTTACCCTGACAAGCCCCTTAAGAATCCTAAACAAAACACTGAAAGAACTGTGGACGTTGGAAATCGGAAACGAAAACAGAAATTGCTGTGGAGAGAAATCAGAATTAACGTTTTGGGTCCAATGACCCTTCTTCAGAACACAAGAATCCTGTATGTTTCAGTATCATCACCTCTCATTATTCTAAACTCCTGTGAGTGGAGTTTAATTTCTTTTAACCTTTGCTCATTAGACAGTTCCTCCATACCAGGGACCATCCTCATGAGCCGTCTCTTAACTGTCTCCAATGAAACAATATCTTTCCTAATATCCTTGTGCTCAACTCCGAGTTCCTGAGGCTGACCTGAAACGTACATAAGACCATAAGAAATAGAAGCAGGAGTAGGCCATCTGGTCCCTCGAGCCTGCTCCACCATTCAATAAGTTCATGGCTGATCTTTTCATGGACTCAGCTCCACTTACCCACCCGCTCACCATAACCTTTAATTTCCTTACTGTTCCAAAATCTATCTATCTTTGCTTTAAAAACATTCAATGAGGAAGCCTCAACTGCTTCACTGGGCAGGGAATTCCACAGATTCACTACCCTTTGGGTGAAGAAGTTCCTCCTCAACTCAGTCCTAAATCTGCTGCCCCTTATTTTGAGGCTGTGCCGTCTTGTTCTAGTTTCACCCCCCAGTGGAAACAACCTCCCTGCTTCTATCTTATCTATTCCCTTCATAATTTTATATGTTTCTAGGAGATTCTCCCCGCGTTTTTCTAAATTCCAATGAATATAATCCCAGTCTACTCAATCTCACCTTATAAGCCAACCCTCTGAACTCTGGAATCAACCTAGTGAACCTCCACTGCACCCCCTCCAGTGCCAGTACATCCTTTCTCGAGTAAGGAGACCAAAACTGTACACAGTGCTCCAGGTGTGGCCTCACCAGAACCCTATACAGCTGCAGCATAACCTCCCTGTTTTTAAACTCCATGCCTCTGGTAATGAAAGACAAAATTCCATTTGCCTTCTTAATTACCTGTTGCATCTGCAAACCAACATTATGTGATTCTTGCACAAGGACACCCAGGTCTCTCTGCACAGTGACATGCTGCAATTTTTCACCATTTAAATAATAGTCCATTTTTGCTGTTAATTCTACCAAAATGGATGATCTCACATTTGCCAACATTGAAATCCATCTGCTAGACCCTTGTCCACTCATTTAACCTAACTATATCCCTCTGCAGACATTCAGTGTCCTTTGTACACTTTGCTCTACCACTCATCTTAGTGTCATCTGCAAACTTTGACACATATACACTTGGTGGCCAACTCTAAACCATCAATGTAAATTGTAAACAATTGCGTTGCCAACACTGATCCCTGAGGCACATCACTAGCCATTGATCGCCAACCAGAAAAACACCCTTTTATTCCTACTCCTAGCTTTCTGTTAGTTAACTAATCTTCTGTCCATGCTAATACATTACCAATAATGCCATGCACTTTTATCTTATGCAGCAGCCTTTTGTGTGGTACCTTGTTGAAAATTATTGTGGTAAATGTGCCTGTCCTGTTTGTCTCCCCAGGCCTCATAAATCAAGTGGAACTTGGTGCTCAGTCGATCATTTTCCAGGTGTTGACAGTTTTATACATGGTAAGTATAATGTAGCCCACAGCACTCCTACACCTGCCCTCCACCCACATCCCAACATATACTCACCACATGCCATCTCCCAGCAAGATGGCCAAGGACAGCAGATGCTTAGGAACACTACCACCTCCTCTCTGAGTCCAACACTATCCCAATGTGGAGGAATATCACCCATACCCACTTTGCTTTTAAGTTGTTGACATTTTTTCCATTTGCAGACGCATGTTGGGATTGGAATGGCAGCTGGGGTCCGTGTGGGCATGGCTCTTGGAGGAGGGGATCCACAACAAGCTAAGGTCTCGGCAATGACTGCTATCGTTTGTGCTGGTGAGACAGAGTGTGAGCTGGTGTGTCAGATCTGTCTCTCGCACAGTACATTTCTGAGTGTGTGAGTGTGTGTGTGTGAGTGTATGCGCGCACGTGCATATCTCCATATGTGTGTGTCTCTGTATATGTTTCTGAGTATGTGTGTGTCTCTCTGTGTGTGTGTGTGTGTGTGTGTGTGTGTGTGTGTGTGT